TATAGAGCAGAGAAGGAACAAAGAGGGATCAAACAGGTGAAAGTGACTGAGAGAGTACAAAAAAAAGATGAAGATTTATAAAACACGACATCAGAGAAATGGAGACACTGTGTGATTTTGGACAAGTGACGAGCAGCCGCTGACAAGCATGACACACAAACAAAAGTGACCATGGCAAAGCAGAGCATCAAACAAGAGAACATCACTCCCCTGTCTCACTCTCAGTGTGGGAGGATGTGTGGGCGAGCGCGTAACAGAATTAGTTTCTGCGCATGCGGGTTAAAACACTTTTGTGGCTCCGTGTGTGCCATTATGTTTGTGTCTTCCAGCACCCGAGAGAATGTATTGGAGTGTGTTTATCAAAGTTGCCGCTTTTCATACAAAACCACATTAACAGAAAGTATAAGATCTTAATTAATTAAGATGCTAGGCCGCCGGAAAAAGGAAGCAGAGAGAAAACAGCTGGTTAGCCCTCTGCTAGTACTTCATCTTTCTGTCATGGAGCAAAGGGAGCGGATGGAGACAGAGTAATTTAATTAGGAGCGGACCGCCATTATCGATGGATGACTGCAACGGCTAGAGACATCAAACAACTTTGCCAGATGACAAAGAGCGAAAAGCAATGCATAAAAAGGAAAGAAGAATCTGGTTAATTGTGCAGCAAGACAGAGCACAGTTGTATTGCAGTACTGTGACGTCCTGCGTTTGAATAAGGAGGGATACAGTGCAACTTCTTAAAACTTTGGAAAAACTTTGAAAAGTATGTATCAGGGTAAGAATGTGAGAGAAAAAAAAAAAGATAATGAGGTCTGGGACGAAAGAAAGCGGACAGGCTGAGAAAATGGAGTGTGGGATTGAGAATGTTACTGTAGAAACTAGAAAGTGTATGGAGGGAAAATGAGATGGGAGCGGGAGAAAGGAGAGACAAGGATGTGATGGAGGGTGGAGATGAGGCAGAGTGGAGGAGAGAGAACACAGAGGAAGAGGGATAAGCAGAGAGAGACGAGGAGAAAAGAAAATGGAATATAAAGATCAGTGGCCACGTGTTTGCGATTAGCGGTCCAATCTCATGCTTGGCCACGTCTGCACTGCGCAGCAACGTGGGCACACATGCATGCTCACATGCACGCATGCCTACAGGCATATTCAGGCACACACACACACACACAAAATCACTTTCTTAAAAAACAGCAGGTATTCATTGTGGCCAAAGCCTAAATTATTTTTCGACAAGTTTTCTATGAATGAAAGCTACGTCAAAATAACCCATTATCAAGTGCAGTTTCCATGGTGGCAGAGGTAATAAAATGCACCCACATGGAAGTTTGATTTATTTCTTTTTGTGATTACACAAAACTAAACATCCTTCTGTAAAATCTGAAGCTGAATTTCAGTGTTTGCACAATTTTGGCTCATATTGTCAAGCACGGCTCACCACTTATCACTTTACTTGCCCCTCGCTAATTTTCAGCTCTATGTTCCCTTTTGTCTGTTCTCACTCTTCCAAGAACCTTTCTTTCACCACCTCCATGTCTTCCATTCCTCCCTCGCCTCCTCTCTCCACTTCTTCACATGCCCTCCTCTCTCTTTTGTCGTCACATTCTCCATGCCTCTTCTATTTTAACCTGTATCCACAGGGCATCTGTCTTCAGATGGCAGCACTGAACACAGCCGTGTGTGAGGTGCAGATCACAGCTCATGTCGTTGCTATGTGACTATTGAAAACCTGTTTGGAGCTTGTCATTCTTTTGCTAAAAGTTAAAGCAGTGATCGTCAAACCTTTTCTGGCACACGACCCTGTTTTTGAGTACAAAAATTCCCATGACCCGAGTGGAGAAGCATGTCGTGTCAATTTGAATATGGCATATTTTTACAATCTGTTCTTAAAAGGGCAGTCCACCACTTCTAGCTGAAAAAGTCAACTTACTTTTCAAAGGAAGTATTACTCAGCCTTTGACAATACTTGTAGAATGTCCTCTGGAGGAGCTTTGCCAAGTCTAAGAAAATTATTGACCTCACTGATAATATTGCCAGGCTGGCATCAGGTAGACTCACCCTCCTGTGGCTTTAGTGTGTCACAAAATGGACTATACACATAAAGAAATGGCTCAAAACCCCATCTGCACCACCCACCCTAGAATCTACTTCAGGATCTACTCCTTCAAACTAAGAACCACTTAGAACCATCAGTGTCCAAATCCCAGTTGACTTCTCCAACCCCATTAACAAGGTTTCTTCTCTCCCTGCCACATAGCAAGATAGCCCGGCTACCAAAAGTCTGTACCATTTTCATCACACTGAAGGTGTATAAGATAAAATATTTGTGAT